TGGCCTAGGCAGCACCTAGGCGCTAATCGTTGCTCAGCCACTGCAATTAAGGTAGGATCAGAAGAATTAGGCGGAGCCTAAGTGGCCACCTGGGTGCTCTAGGCGGTGTAGGCGGTCCAAGGCGAAGTCGAGGCAGCTTTCGGTATGATGCGAATCCTGACTTTAATAAATTAGCCATGGTTGCAGAGCTTGGTTTCAGCGGACTTGCAAGCACACTCACCATCGTAGAGAAGAAGAAAGTGAACAGTTAACCCTTATCTTTTAATTTGACACGGCGTTGTTTTAGTTTGCTTTAAGTTTTGTTTACTCTTTACACGTGGCTTAGTAAGTGCCACTCTTTTCGCCCATAAAGAAACCAGGAACCAAAAAAACACCATGTCATACAATCCTAATAGCACTTTAATTGGAAGAAAATGGTACTAATCGACAAAATAAGAAAAAAAATATATGATACTATTATATTTTGTAAGTATAATTCTTTTTTATTTTTTTTTTGGTATACACTATCAAATAAAAAACACGCTATATTTAATTTTTATACATTTTATGTTTCACCACATATAAAATAACATAAGATATATATGTTATATAATGAATTTTGTTAAATTAATAAAATGTGAACTTTATAATTTATGTATTCTTCTATTTTACATTTTATTGTTCAAATACTTCATAATATATATATGTCATTTTATTTTCTAGTTTATAAAATTATATATATTTTAAGTATAAACAGACACTTATTTACACGAAATACAATAGATTTACTTAAATCCGCCTAGTCGCCTAGGCACTAGGTCCCAATCCACTGCCTGACTAGCGTCTTTTAGAACATTGGTTTAAATCCAGGAACCACTGGATTGTGCACTGAGTTGCACTAATCCATATTGAACCTTCCGAACACTTCATGTGCGTACTTCCGTTGACTAATAAACATGCCATTTGTTGTCTGCACCACTTCAATGCCAAGGAAATACCTCATTTTGCCGAGATCAGTCATATCAAATTCAACCATCATGGACTTCTTGAATTGCTCAAACATAAGGTCATCATTCCCAATAAATATAAGATCATCAACATTAGGCATACAATCAAAATTTTACCTTCATTTGCTGTCTTGATAAACAAAGTATGTTCGTAGGGACATCTGTTGAAACCTTCCTTGGTGAAATATGACTCTATGCAACTGTACCAGGCTCGTGGAGCCTGTTTGAGTCCATATAATGCCTTTTTTAGACAATACACCTTGGATTCACTCCCCTTCTGCTCATAATATGGTGGTTGCTCGACAAACACTTCCTCATTAATCTATCCATGCAGAAAGGCTGATTTGACATCGAGTTGGTAAATCCTCCAATTCTTTTATGCAACAAGGGATATAACAACTCGAATTGTATCCAAGCGAGCCATTGGTGCGAACACTTCAATATAATCCACTCCATATTGTTAACTATATCCTTTAGCAACGAACCATGCCGAGCCTTGTACTTGTCCACTTCCCCATTCTCATTTAGTTTTGTCTTGAAAACCCACTTCACTCTAATGGTCTTTCCTCCTGATAGCATGTCCGTTAACTCCCATGTATCATTTTTCTCTATGGCTTCTATTTCCTGATCCATCGCTTGTCTCCACTTCTCACTTTTCATGGCATCATCAAATGTAGTGGGATCACCATTAGTAAACAAGGCTAAATGAGCCAAGTTCACACTTTCTTCATCACAGAGGCCTGTACCAGTTTCATAATCTCTCATCCAGGTTGGTGGCCTTTGAATTCGTCCCTCACGAAGTGCACTGTCTTCATTCGTGGTATCTCTTTCTTCTAATGAATCATTACCATCAAACTCAATATTTCCCATGTCTTCATTAGCTTCAGACCCTTCTCCATTCCCTTCATCTTCTGTATCTATTTCTTCGTCTATTTCCCATTCAAGATCGGGCAAAATGGCTTGCTCGTGACTGTCATCCCAATTCCATCATTGATCTTCTTCAAAGACCACATCTTGGCTTACAATAATCTTCTATGAAATAGGATCAAACAATCTATAAGCTTTAGATTCTTCACTTACCCCTAACAATATGCATTTGAGACTTTTGGCATCAAGTTGTACTCTTTTATTGTCAGGTAAATGCACATGGGATATGCATCCAAAGATTCTAAAATGATCCGCTAATGGTTTACGCCCACTCCAAACTTCTTCAGGTGTCTTGCTTTTCACGGCAAGGGTTGGACTTTGATTCAACACGTGTACTACCCAGCTCACTACTTCAGGCCATAAGGTTTTTGGAATTTGTTTCTCTAATGACATGTTGTGAACCATATTCATATGGTTCGACTCTTCCTTTCAGCGACGCCGTTTTGTTGAGTAGTGTAGCAACCATCAATTGCTTGTGAATTCCATTCTCATTGCAGAAACTTGTAAATTCGTGTGATGTGAATTCACCCCTACGATCTGTTCTTAGACTCCTTATGAATGCTCCAGTTTCCTTCTCAACCCTGGCTTTATAGGTTTTGAACATGGCAAAAGCTTCTAATTTCTCTACCAAAAAGTAAACCCAAGTTTTTCTACTGAAATCATCAATAAAGGTGATGAGATACCTTTTCTTACTATTCAAGATTAGATTTATCGGGCCACATATGTCAGCATGTATCAACTGAAAGATCTTGGAAGCTCTCCACACACTTTCCCTTGCAAAAGAATCACGGTGTTGTTTTCCCACAAGGCAGTCTTCACACACTTTTTGAGAAGCTTTGAACTTTGGCAACCCTTCAACCATATTCTTTTGTTGGAGCACTTTGAGTCCATTCCAATTCAGATGCCTATATCGACAATGCCAAAGGTTTGCTTGATCTATGGTCGTCATATAGAGACACTTTTGTTACTTTGGTGGGCAACGAGCAACCAAAGCAAACATCCTATTGTACATCATCTCAATCTCTACAATTAGACCTTTCTCAGGATGAAAGATCTTACATTTTCCATGTTGCATGAGCACTGCGAGTCCCCTCTCTTGCAATTGACTGATACTTAACAAGTTGTTCTTCAATTCAGGCACAAAGAAGACTCATGTAATCACATGCACGATCTCATTCACCTTCATTCGAACCTTGCCCTTGCCTTGTACAGTGGACTAGAGTCATTTCCCAAATTCACCGACTCTCTGAAATTGTCCAACTCGATGAATATTTCCCTTCTACCACATATATGGTTGCTACATCCAAAATCAAGAAGCCAAATGTACTTCATCCCAACCTCCTTAAAATCCACATGTGCCATTAGCAACATCTCTTCTTTTGTTTCTGCATAGTTCGCCTTTGGATCCCTTGCTCTCTTAGGGCACTCCCACTGAAAATTCCCTAGCTCATGACAGTTATAGCATTCTAGGATAGATTTGTCGTACCCAAATCTACCATTTCCCCTTCTTCTTCCACAATAGGTGCCACGACCTCCACCTTTTCCTCCATGTTGAACTCCAGACGTCACTTGAAGTGCTTGTTTACCATTTCCCCTTCTTCTTCCATAATAGGTGCCACAACCTCCACCTCTTTCTCCATGTTGAACTCCAGACGTCACTTGAAGTGCTTGTACATGCCGACTGATTCTTTGTTCGTGCACCAAGAGGCTGCTCTCAAGCTCATCTATGGATAAAGTATCCAAGTCATTCGACTCCTCAATCGAGCAGACAATATAATCATATTTTGAAGTCATGGAGCTCAAAATTTTCTCAATGATCACCACATCCTCCGTTCTTTCTCTGTGAATCCTCATCTTATTTCCCCAACCTTCATGTGCAGTACTTCAAACTTCTTTTGAATACATGCAGTTGAGTGCGCTTGACACGTGCTATTCCTTGATACTTTTGCTTCAAAGAATCACTTTACAGTATCCTTCTTCATAATTGTTTCCAAGATCGAACGATCAATGGCCTGAAACAGGTAGTTTTTGGCCTTCATGTCTTTCAGCTTCTAATCTTCCAGTGCCTTCTTCTGCGAATCACTAGAATCAGATCCTCCTACTATAGCAGTGATCCCTGTCTCCACCAAGTTCCAATATTCCTTGGAACATAGAAAATTCTCCATAAGCATACTCCAGTGATCATAGTGCCCATCGAACTTTGGAATGGCAGGTTACACAAAGCTGCTCTCAGATGTCATGTCTCTTGTTCCTTCACTCTGGTAACTATGTTTGCAAGTTTTGGTCAGGCCCCGTGATAGGGCTCTGATACTAGATGTTAGAACCAAACAAGGATATCAAAGAGCTTTGTGAGTGCAAAGTACGATTACTGGGAGAATTCTTATTGAAATGAAATAACAATTATGGCTATTAATAGCCTTACATCAAAACAAAAATGGAAATAACAACCCACGATTTACAGGACCTACAATCGTGATAAGTGACTAAGTCAAAATAGAAAACAAACTTGTCCCTCAAGTATAGGAGGGTTATTTGCATGACCTGGAATAAATCCCTAAAAATATGAACCCTAACAACTTCAACATTGGATGAGGTGAACTACTTGAACTGGGTTTCTTGGAAGTTAAATGTCAGTAAACAACCGAAACGTGTGTAGTCTAAATCAAGAAAAAAGATAATACTCCAAATTAAAAAAAATTTAGAACGAGTAAATGTTAAATTGATATTATCTTTTACATTTCCAAACAAGTGTTTACATTCCGCCTATTAGAGAGCTTTCCGACCAACCAAAAATATAAAATATGCCTATTCCAAGACATTTTTGCATTTCCAGTAGAGATGCTGTCTGGACAAATCCGATATGGTTTTTGTTCTTTTTCCATATTTTTTTTTTGGGTGACTGAATTTAGAACTTAATATTTTTTGGAGGGAGAATGGAAGTCGGACATGCGGGTCAAAAATAAATGCTCTCAACTAAGCTACAAGCACCTTACATTAAGCCGCTAAGTGCACTTAAGGCAGAGATACTGTTACAACTAAAATTAGAAAGAAGTACCGGTAAATACTGAAGCAAATGAATGGAAAGTATTTCAATAAAACAAGTCATTACTTAATACTTATCATCCGTCCTCTGAAAGAAGTACAAAATTGGTTATGGTGCTCAAATAATCATTTTACCAAAGGAGCTAAGGGAAAACTCATAAGACTTGTTCATATTAGGCAACTCTTGTTTACCTCTTTCCCTTTCCTCTTTTACCATTTTTACCAAACTTTTTGCCACCCTTGGCCGACTTGCTCTTCATATAAGAGACCCTGTCGGCCTTTTTCTGTCGCTCCTTGCGAACCTGTTCTAAGTCTTTGATTTCAGAACGCACATGAGCATTAGGCACAGAGTGTTGCTTCCTGCCTCCAAAAGACTTACCCTTCCCCTGCCATCTACGGTTACCTGCAAAGAGACATGAAAACCACGAATAAGTAAAACAAGACACAAAAGAAGCTAGCTCGGATGAACTGAGTGAGAATCTTAACAAGTGTTAAACCAAAAAACTGATCAATCGCATTTAAGAGAAACAACAGAAAAGTACATAAACTTCAGAGAGAGAGCATTACCTGTGGAATCCTCAGCATTCCCTTCATTAGTTCCTGTAAGAGATACTCTCTTGTGTGAACGTTCTTTCCACTTCTTGTATATCCCAGTTTTCTCAAGCTTTGCTTTTGCACCACTCTCTGTCTTTATCTGTACACCATAAAATTTAGCATAAACGTTCTGTGTAACCAACAAACAATATATGTTGCAGGCGCACCTTGCAATGACTACTAGAGAATAACGAGTTGATGAGAATTCATTTGGGTATAATCTGGAGTACGGAAAGGAAGTTCAGTGCAATCATTCTCAAGTAACGGTTTATATCAAGTTATCAACCAAGTCTCAACGCATGTTGTTTATGTGGTCGGTTTGAGCTAATGCTAGAATTTGACTGGTGTGTCCTCTCTGACAAGGAATCCAAGTATGCTTTTCTTTGAGAATCTGTGACCACTGTTTCTATTAATCTCATACGGGTTGATATAGTTTCAACATGGATTGGTTAAAACTTGAATTTAACTACAGAAGCAATGTTATGCTCTATAGCATTTAATACAAGGAACAATGCAAAAGTGTCAAAGACTGTTGCAATATAATTATGGATGCTGAGATAAAATTAAGAAAATTACCTTGCCGCTAGCTGTCACACGATCACCATTGTTTAGCTTTATGTACTTTTTCCCCCTCTGCCACCCATTAATTTGATGAGGTTAAGGGTAAATTTTGGTAAACAAAATTAAAACAAGAAAACAATATTACTGTTCAAAGTACCTTATCCCAATGAAATACAGATTTCTGTTTCTTCATGCCAACATTATCATCTGCAATGAGATCAATAACAGCAGCTTCCAACCTACACAGACAAATGGGGTCAACTGAAGTGCAGACCATACAATATTCATACATTTAATCTCAATAAAAATAACAAGGTAACTGAGAGAATTGTCATTGCATAGTGCCAGAAAAACTGGGTAGCTGACAGAATCATCAACATCAAAAAAGTTCATAAATAATCCACCTGTAAAATTTCAATTATATACACTAGCACTTAACCAATAGCAGAAACCAAGTTAAAATTTTGTTAAATCAATTTCCATAGAGCTAGAGCAGAACCGAGTATTACCTATTTGAGTCAAAGTCGTCCTTCCCTCTCACTGAAAGGCCTGCTTCGGTATGCTGGACAACAAAATATCAGAATAGGCCAATATATTAGCCAGTTTCCAACCCTTGTGATCCAAATCCACAGCACAACTCAAAACACAAAACTAAATGATGTAACAAATTTTTAAAAATTCAAAATCAAGGTGAGTAATTTGGTTTTGTTTTTATGAGATTGGTACTGAGATGTTGGTAAACCTGTTACTCATTGAGTCTTTGTACTGTGTTTATAATTATTACTAATAAATTTTGTTTCTCATAAATAAAAATGTCATAACCCTAAACCATCACAAAAGAAACTTCCGATAACAGAGCCATCCAAAGCCAAGCACCAAGGTAAATCTATCATAACCCAAGTTAACTGCTGCTTCCCAATCAGACCATAGCAGAGAAAAAGATAAAATCCCCAAAAATCAGGTGAAACTAAAGCCCACAACGATAACAAGAAATGACTTTGTTGTAGTTAGCAAGATTTTTTGTTTTATTCCTTGAATCCTCTCCATCCAAAGAACCCAAAACACCACTAACAAACGAGAGCATAATATTGCAATACACCAGTGCAATTAACTTGAAAAGTTATAGAAGTTATATAACCTACATGATTAGTTGGTATTGAACTTATAAAGTTTTCATCATCCTTGAAGCTCTTTGCCTTCCTTTTGGAGCCTGAAGATACTAATACCCAGGGAAAACAACAAAGTATTAATAATCCATTGAATAAACATGCTTACAATATGTTAGGGGAAAGAAAAAAAAAAGTAAAAAATGAGAAGAAACTAAATCATTCCAAACATGTTTGAAAAGTGAGGATGAAACTAAAACTAAAGGACCATATGCCACTGGATCCACATTCCAAATACCACGTTTCGGTATCAGTGAATACACCATTTAAAACAACTCGTAAAAAAGAGCACAACGGGCACAAACTATAAAATGAAAAGAACTGCAGAATTAAACTGGTACACCTTTGACCAAGTTATATTACTAGGTTCTCTGAAAATTACCAATTAAAATGAGTATAGGCTACTTAGGGATTTAGGATGACAAATTTCTCGCTATTAGTTCAAAATTAGAAAAATTGATCGTGCACGGAAAAACATTTGAGACTGTTTCTTTATTCTAAGAGTAAAAGTGGTCAAACTTTGAGCTATGGAATACCTTTCTTCTCCTTGGTCTTTGAGGGAATAAAATCATCTTCATCTTCCTGCAAGAATCAAAAGTTCATTTTAGCACAATTTACTTGGGAAGACACCATAAAATTATTGATACAACGCCTGAAATGTGTATAACCTTTGCATATACATAAATTAAATATATAGCTTACATGATGGATCCCTCAACAGAAGGGGACTGCACAAAACACAATTAATTCATGCAAACAGTCTCTGAAGCAATGCCAATTATAGAACTTGTTCTAAAACGTTGCTTAATGTTAATAACTAACCGGGTGATAGCAAGTCCTTTATACATGCATAATAAACAATGCATGATGGCATCAACATGGTGTTTCGAGTGATTATAAAAGTTGCACACGGTTGCATTTCAAAAACATCAAAACCATAAATTACACTACTGAAATTTTTACCTTTTCCGCATGATTATTATTAGAACGTTGTTGATGAAATAAATTAATGACCTCTTCATGAATAGCTCTTTTTTCCTTCATTACATCAACCCAGTGACGAGAAGAACCCTGCAAATAAGCCACATACTTAATAAAAATCAAACAAGGCCAACTTGAATATTAAGAATAGAAGCTACGAGTCATTGCACATACTCGGCTAAAGCATACATAATTACGGAGAAAATACATAACATAAGTTATTTCATGCAAAAATATTTTATTCAAACAACAAAAGGTACGGTTGAGAGGCAGTGAACATGAGCAAATAAAATGCCTAGAGCCAAAGTGGGTGAGAGTGAGGAGGAGGAGGAGAGGAATGGGAAGTGGAGACAGGCGGGTGGTGTCGTGAAAGCTTGGGGTAAGACAGCTTAACTTGTGAACTCAGAAGAGCAAAAGTAACTACAGAATAAGGGGGAAATTATTTCAAATGTGAATGCAAATATACAAAGGTGAAATACTAAATTGAAACAATAAATGGCAAAACAGATGCCTAAGCAGACAAACAATTACTAAGGATATGATTCTTCAATTATTTGACCATCTTAGCATTTAAGATTCAGGTTTTATGATTTAACCATTTTGTACTTTCTCACTACTCAACTTACCAATTGAATTACACACAACCACAGGAATCCTCATAAAAAGAAAGGAAAATCGGCATGTTCTTACAAAAAACTACCATGTTCCTCTGGAACTATTTTGATCAGATCCTCACTACAGTATGTTGAAATGAAACTTCCGAACTTGAAGGCTAAAGAATGACAGACTTCTTTACATAAATGTTGAGGGCATAAAATAATATATTTTGATTTTTGAGAACTGAAGACGTTAAATTTTGTTATGTAAAAGATATTACCTGTGGACACAGACATACAGAAGATAAACACCAAACAGGAACCAAATGTAATAAACAAAATAAAGAAAGAAACAAAAGAAAAGCTATGAAAGAAATATAAATAATTGCAAACAGTGACTGTGATCAAGAGAAGAAATAACAAATACGCTTTGAATTAAACCCAGTGTTTTCTCTTTCTATTCAAAATGTCCCCAACATCCTCTCCCACAATAGGCACCACACTAAAGAGAATGATATATACATGAACGATGTTTACAAAACAACCCCCATTATATATTTTCCCATGGAAAAGCTTTATATGGTTCTCTCTTTCATGCATGAATTTCCTATATTTCGAGTTTATTTGACAAACAATGAATAGAAGCAGTTGACTAATAGGATAAAAATGCCCAAATGCAACAAAGTAGCGGTTGTGAGATATAACTATAAGAGTACAAAAAACCAAAGATTTTGATCATCAGATAGAAAGAGTTTTGACTTTGGTAACAGAATAATAAGAAAAATGTCCAATAGATCAAGTCCATGCAGTTACCAATTAAATGAAATCTACTGCTGAACACATAAAGTGGAGAGTTACCTTCAGATTCTTTGACTTAGCAGCTTCACCTTCAGTTTCTAGAATGGTCTGCTTGGGTCTAGCATAAATCGCCAATGAATGGTTAAAGTTAGCAACATCAGATCCTCAGAAGAAGAAACAGAATATAAGTGTATCCAGAAATATTATTAGCAAATGCTTAAGTGTAAACCTGAATGTCTTCAACCGCTCAGAAAATGCCAATGCCTTCAACTCTCCACCATCCAGTACACTTTTAAAAATTGGATGCAACCCTTCGCGAGGTAAATCTTTTGCTCTTTTAACAGACTCCTTTGAAGGTGGGGGTTTTGTCTTTGAATACAAGCGGAATGCATTTGCACAGGTTTTCACCATATTACTGAGTTCTGAAGAAGAATCTATTATCTCTCTAACTCTATCCGAAACAAGATCTATAACTGTTTGGGGAAAACGCCCATAAACAGTTTCTCCATTAGCAATTGCTTGATCAATCTTAGACATCACTCCATCCATATCATGTAAAACTTCCTCCTCTGTGGGTGCAGCCCTAATTGGCTTTGAAAGAAACAGATGTAGATCTAAAAGGTTAGGCATATCTTCAGATGTCACAAAGGAGAATGCAGTACCAGTCCGACCAGCCCTTGCAGCTCGGCCTACTCGATGAACAAAAAGTTTAGGCTTTGGGGGAAAGTCCCAATTGATGACATTGTCAAGCAATGGAATGTCAATTCCTCTAGCTGCAACATCAGTAACAATTAACTGCATAGTCTTTCTTGACCTAAACCTCGATACATTAATCTGGCGAGCATCATGATCCATGTCACCATAACATACAGAAGGCTCAATGCCCTCTTCTCTAAACAAGATATTCAGAAACTCCACATGATGTTTTGTAGATACAAATATCAATGTCTGCTCACCCGAACTAATATGCTCCCTTATCAAATAAAGTATTGCAGCGTGCTTTTCTTCCTGTCTCAAGGTGAAAAACATAAGCTTCAAGTCAGGGCTAATCTTAGTATCCAAATCAAGCCGCACAAGTCGAGGGTCTTGCAGACCAGCCTTGGCAAATTCTGCAAGAGCAGAGGGTAGTGTTGCACTAAAAAGCAGGGTCTGGCGATTCTCACTCAGCTGTCCAAGGATTTTATGCAACTGCTCCGCGAAACCCATGCCAAAGAGGCAATCCGCTTCATCAAAAACAACATACTCCACTGTCCTAAGTGTCATGTCATCAACCTCAGCTAAATGGTGCATCAACCTACCGGGAGTTGCAATTATAATATCAGGGTTTTGGGCTAATTCTTCAAACTGAGTTTCCATGCTATCGCCACCAACTAGTAAACTAATACGGACATCTGCAACAAAGACAACGAATTTTGGTTCATACCATAAGTCTATGACTTAATGCAACACTTACGTTGACTACATTGAAAAACGCAACATTTTTCATCAAATGGGAACTTTGAGTTCTTCCTCTTTCCTCAAAGGAAAATTTAAAAAAAAAAAAAAAAAAAAAAAAAAAAAAGACCAAATTAAAATAAAAATGGGTACATAACATACCCATGAAACGGCTGAGCTCTTTGGTAAACTTGTGAGTCTGTAGCGCCAAGTCCCTGGTGGGAGATAGAATGAGAGCCCGAACGCCGCCCTGAGGTACGTGCTCCTTCAGACGCTCGAGCATGGGGATCAGAAAAGCGGCGGTCTTGCCAGAACCGGTTCTGGCCATGGCAACGACATCGTTTCCAGCTAGAATAAGCGGCATGGTCTTGCGCTGGATGGGTGTGGGTACTTTGTAGCCCTTGCGCTTGATTGCATTGAAGACATTGGGACTTAGATTCAGAGACTCAAAGCCTCCAGACTTGGCCTTCTTCTTCTGTATCTCCCTTCGTTTCAGGTCCTTTTTCGAGCTCACGTAAACCATCGTGTTTTCGGCTCTTTCGGATCTCTGTGTTTCTTCGTTACACGAAAATTAAGTTGAAATTACACAGCCAAGAACTTCAACTGGAGAAGATTGCAGGCACACAAACTGTTCAGTGAGGCAATAAATTCAAAATTAAAATTCGGCTATAATTTTTTAAATTCCTTCACGAATATTGAAATCTAGAAGAAACTAATTTTAAGATAGTAAGCAAAAACCCTAGAAGGGTTTCAGATTGAGAGAATAAACGAAAACCCTAGGCAACTGCAGCCATGGCGGCACTTAGAGAGAGAGAGAGAGAGAGGCACTAAACCTGGAGTTTGTAGGTGGCTGACGGATGAGATGGGAGGCGAGAGGTTGGAGGTGGCGTCGCTTTCTGCTCTGCCTAGGTTGGCAGCGGCGGATGAAGAGGATGCCGCGAAATGGCAAGGGAAGGGTTTTAGAAAACCTCATGTGGCAATCCGCTGCGTGAAGGTCCATTGTATTTTCATCTATGGGCCACTTATCCCGCACCACGTGTATGACATTGTTATTCTCATCCGGGATGAGATCCTCTCCCGACTCTCTTTAAGGGGATCACTTTATCGTGTGGTTCATCGTACATCGTGCAATCAGTTTTTATTAAATACTATGTGTTCAATTTTAAATAAAAAAATTCAAAATGATTTGTAACTGCATGATGATAGATGAATGTACACGATAAAGTAATCCTTAAATTCCTCACAAAGAATATTCGGATAGAATCCTATTTCGATATACCGCACCATGTGTATTAAGGTGGGTGTAGTTCGGTTTGGTGTGGTTTTGGATGAAACCAAAACCAAAACCAAAACCAAAACCGCAAGTTTTTGCTGTTTGGTTCGGTATGGTTTAGAGGCTAAAATCGAAATGAAATCAAATCATTTGGTTCGGTTCGGTTCGATTCGGTTTGGTTTTAAACGGTTTTGGTTTGGTTTCATTGTTTGAAAAAACTATACAATATTAAAATTCAATCATGCATACAATATTAAAACCGAAAGTTACTGCATTGTTCAAGCATGCATACAATATTAAAATTCAATCAAGCATGGCTTCAATATAATCAGACATGCATGCATGCAACATACATTATTACATTCATTCAACTAGAATCTTAGCTTGAAACTTGTTGTGGTTGTGAATTAAGAATAACAGCAAGCACAACAATTAACAGCAATTAACATCAACAAAATGGTACGAGAGGTGGATCTGCATTCAGTGCATATGAATATTACCTACATAGGGTTTGTTTTCGAGTGTGCTAATGGATTTGCGTGTTTTGAATGATTGACTGTCATTCGATGCATGTGAATGAATAATATCTAAAGCAGCAGGTATTGTTTGTTTGAAATATCTAACCACATGGAGACCGAGAGAGAGACAGAAAGTTAGATGAAGAATGAAGTTGAGTAGCAAATGAGTAAAGAAAGAAAGAGTACAGAAAGAGTACAGACTCCGACTAGAAGAAAGAAAAGAACAAGATTATGTGGCCATGTTATGATGTGGTTAAGTCCATACTAAATGTATGGACTCAATAACATAACCAATTAAAATTTAACATTTAATAAAGTCATGTGGTTTCAGTTCGGTTTCGGAGGGCCGGAACCGCAACTAAATTGTTTTTCCCCTATTCGGTTTGGTTTCAAACTGAAACCATTTTGAAACCGCAAAACCAACCTATTCGGTGTGGTTCGATTTTGTTCGTGGTTTAGTTTCGATTTCCGGTTTCAAGTGCCCATCCTAATGTGTATGACATTGTTATTTTTGGATCAACTTCAATTGTTGCGTTAGAACCTAAAATTTAGATTCTAAACCAATTCAAATCATTTTCAATGGGCCTAAAATAAATATTTCTATAAAACCTAAAATTTAGAGAAATTTAGCCTAAAAACAATCTAAATCTATTTTTCTAGCCCATTATTGCGAGTGGACGCGCCGAAAAGAAGGCCAATCTCGGCCCAACGACGCGCGACACTTCATTGCATGCAACACAGGCAACAAGGCAGTCAACAATGGGACCCAATGGGCTGACACATGTCAGTCACTTTGCATGAGTCCAACCACTCTTTTTGGTGATCCAAGGGCTGGAATTAATGGGTCGTTGTTTGATCCAATGGTCCAAATTCAAATTCATTTTTTTTTAGAATTTAATTTATAAATTCATTAAATTCAACTACTATGATCGAATATGATCAACTCTAACGGTAAAAAAAATCAAACGGTCCAAAATTAAATTGAATGGCTAAAAAAAAAAAAAAAATTACTTAGATCAAAATTCAATCTAAAACTCTATAAATACATATGTATTTGTTCAAACATTGTTCAAACATCCACACAAAATTCGTTGTCCTCATATAATTCTTCCATTCTTTATTTCTACCCACTTCCAAACCTATTTCTTCCCATTTCTAAATTTTTCAAGATGGAAAAATATCATATTAGAGGTACTAATTGGTGAAATGATGAAGATTGAAGCATATTTAATGATTTTTCATTATTTATCGGAATTTTAACATTTTTATGTTAAAATATTCATAAAAATATATTAGGATAATCTACATAAATTTTATTATTATAGTTACCGAATAAAAAAATCAGGTTAAATTCATTCTTTAATCTCTCGGGCTAAAATTTAAGACAAAATCATTGGAGAAAAAAACTGATTTTCGATTAAAACCTAATGGCCCCTTTGGTATCCTACTAAAAAAATTTCATCCTTTTTAAAAATATTTTAAGACCATACCTTAAGATCAGTTTTTTTTTTTTTTTTATTATAAAACTCAAAGACTTGTTTGGTATGACACAAAATTTTAAATCTTAACAATTTAAAAAACTAAAAAACAAAGCTTTGCCAGCAACCCCTGCTGGTGCCGAAGGAGGGAGATCGAGATCATAAGATGTAAAGGAGATAGAGAAGCAATTGGAAGAGAGGGGGAGAGAGAAAGAGATAAGAATGAGGAGAGAGAGGATGAAGAAATGAGAATCTCGGGATCGAAAGAGGGGATAAGAGTGGGCTTTTAGTTTTAAAATTTTTAAAAACAGTCTTCTATATTTTCACGAAGTAAACTATATTCTTAAGTTTCGATGAAAAAATATATATATTTTTAAGTATGTTTTGAGTCCAGTTTTTCAAAATAGCCTTACCAAACAAGAATTATAAACTTGAGACTCAAAAATAGTTTTGAGTTGAAAAAAAGTTGGGACTCTAGTAGAATACTAAACATGTCCTAAATTTTCTACAAATATAAGGTTTGTGTTGGTATTCTACTTGAATTCAACTTTTTAAATTCAAAAACACTTTTCAAGTTTTAAGTCTTGAAAACTTGTTTTGTATGACCCTTTTTAAAAAATTGGACTCAAAACTAATTAAAGAATTAACCTATTTCTTAAAAATATCAAAAGTGTGTTTTTAGATTTTTTAAATTTAAAGCTCACTCTGTCTCTTTATCTTTTCTCTCACACTTAATCTCTTATCTTTTGTGTCGAGCATGCTTCTCTCGGATAACTCATTACTTGCTGCTGAGATCTCTAATTTCCTATCGAAGTGTCATCAGAGGAAGCAGGGTTTCTTTTCTCTAAAATTGGATATTAGGAATGTTGATTATTGGCACAAACCATGTAGTGTAAAACCAACAATTTAGGTTGGCTACTTTTGTGGTCAAAATTGATGGTTGGCATGCTACATGTGGGAAATAAATTGGATGCTCTTATGCCTAATTTGTGGTCAAAGAATGGATGCATTTATGCCTAATTTGTGAATGCACTTAGGCCTAATTCTTTTGACTTGATGAGAGGCCTTGGCCTATATAAGGAGGTGTAGGCATAACTCATATCATCACCAAGAAGGAGATCAAAGGAAGAGAGAAAAATAGCAAGAAGCCATTCGGCATAGAGAAGAATTTTCTCAAATTGTTTTGCTTTGTATTTTTGGTTTTCTCTTCCTATTGTAAGTGTGTGAGCTTGGGGTTAGTTGGGTCTTTGGGAAATTGAGTGATAAACACTATTGTATTGTTCTCATTGATTATAGTGAAATACTCCGTCGTCTCCAAACTGGATGTAGGCATTGCCGAACCAGTATAAATCTTGGTGTTCTTGTTGGTATTGTTCCATTTATCTTTTGTCAGTTATTGTGATTTATTTTTCACTCTCACACTTGGTTGACGCTTCCGCACAACAAGTGGTATCAGAGCCTAGTGTTTCGACTAGGCGTTCTCGTGGGAGTGAAAAATTTGTTGGCGCTACAGTCCCGTGAATAGTGCCGAGTAGATGGCTGGAGATAAAGATGAATCTGTGAAGGGGAAGGAGTCGGCATCGTCTTCGTCGGCATCTACATCCAATAGACATCAAATTGCTACTACAAGGTTAGAGGTTGATAAATTCAATGGCTCTAATAATTTTGGTATGTGGCAATGTGAAGTTATGGATGTGTTGTATCAACAAGAGTTGGATATGGTTCTGGAAGATAAACCAGAAGATATTGATGACAAGCAGTGGACACGAATTAATCTTCATGCTTGTGCTGCTATTCAATCGTTCCTTGATAAGGAGTTGAAATACCCGTATATGAAGGAAACTTCTGCTAAGGAGTTATGGACAAAATTGGAGGAGAAGTATATGACCAAGAGCGCAGAAAATCGGCTCTTCTTGAAGAAGCGACTCTTCCGATTTCAGTATAGTCCAGGTATTTCTATGCATGAACACCTCAATGATTATAATAAAATACTTGCTGATTTAGCAAACCTTGATGTGAAAATTCCTGACGAGGATAAGGCACTATGTTTGTTAAATTCATTGCCTGATGATTATGATCATTTGACAACTACTTTGTTGTATGGAAAATCCGAGGTGAAACTTGATGAGGTGTCTGCGGCATTGGTGAATCATGAGTGTCGTAAGAAGGAACTGAAGACTCACAATTCACAAACCGAGGCATTTTTTGCAAGGGGTCGAATAGAGGAAAGAAAATCTGGGAAGCGGGGAAAATCTCGTTCAAAGTCACGAGGGAAGTTTCCTGCTAAAGATGAATGTGCCTTTTGCCGCCAAAAGGGTCATTGGAAGAAAGACTGCCCCAAATTGAAGAACAAAGAGAAAGCAGGTTCTGAAGAAAATATTGCAAAATCTGGAGATGATGATTTCGAGTTTGCTTTGACTAGTTCATCTGCTGATGGTCACTCCAAGGAGTGGATTTTGGATTCAGGTTGCACATATCATATATGTCCCATTCGAGAATGGTTTTCTAGCTTCAAGGAGCTGGATGGTGGAGTTGTTTTGATGGGTAATGATAATGCCTGCAAAACACAAGGGATAGGCAAAATCTGTTTGAAGATGCATGATGGAACAGTCAGAGAATTAAGTGATGTTCGGTATATACCGGATATGAAGAAAAACCTTATCTCTCTGGGAGCTTTGGAATCCAAGGGTCTTAAGATCACCATGAAGG